CCCCAGAAGCCTTTCTGGCGGCTGGTAAAGCGGGACGTGCAGAGCCCCTTCCTCCTGCAGCTGGAGGTGTTTGAGGGCCACGGGCAGCGCCCCGGGCGGCTCCTGGCCCAGGCGCAGCACGAGCGGGCGTTCCTGCGGGACGGGGTGCGGAGAGTGCCGGTGCGAGAGGGGAGGATCCGGGCGACGCTTTTCCTGCCCCCCGGTGAGTATCGGCCGTGCCGGGCTCCTTCTCCCACGGTGCTGCCTCTAATTTTGCCCCCGCACTCCCAGGCCGGGATCCAGACCGCCTCCAGTCTCCCCTGGAACGCCGTACCAGGCAGAGGACAAGGGGGAACGTGTCTCGCCAGTAGGCAGAGGACACTCCTCAAGGAGTGGCCAGATCAGCCCAACCAGCTTAGATCTGCTGCTCGTACTCCTCACACAGAGCAGCTGCATGTGGTGATGGACATGAAGGCACTGATCCACAGTAAACTTTTTGTTCACAAAAGCTATGGGAGGTGGAGTCTGCCAGTTTTCAAGGTACCTTTCCTCTACTTGGCTGTTTTCCAGGAAATTCAGGTGGTAATTCTTTTGAGTAAGTGGAAGACTGCTCTCATAAACTGTAGAGTTTAAGCCTGTGGCTTCCCTTTCCAGCCTCTCCACACATCCTGAACTTTGTAATGCCCTAGTTGCTGTAGCCCAAGTTGCCTTTTGCTGCCACATTTGTCTCCATTTCTTCCCTGTTTGTGAGCAGAAAACATTAGACATACTTGCCCTGGCAGCATTTTTGAAAGGAAAAAAATGAAAAGAGCCTGTGAGGTTTTCAGATTGCCTGACAAATGCTGTGTTGTCCTTCCATCAGCTTCCCAGATTTCTGCTAGTTTTCTGCAGGAAACCTCATGCCTTGCATTCCCTTGGTTCTGTAGTAGCCACACCCCCACTACATCCCGCCTTTCCTTTCCCCTGTGATACAGAGGTTTTCACCAAGCATGTCTCTGGAGCCCCATGTACTCAGGGAGCTAGTCTATGTATCATGCGCCTTCCCCTCTCCCCTTTCTTTCCTGTCTGTCCCATATAAATCTTTCATGGCAGTGCTAAAATCATACGTGCTGTGCCAGCCAGTGCCCTGGGCTCTGACTTCATCTGTCTTTCTGAGGCTGGAGGTTCTAGTTCTCGCTTGTTACCCACGTTGGATGTTAATCTGCAGACACCCGAGGGAAGCCTCACCCTTCCTCCTGAGCAGGAATGGAAGTCTCCCTCTTGATCTCCTCCTTTCCATACTTTGTTAGTACTTTGCAGTAATCCCTCTCAGTGCTGGACTTCAGTCCCTGTCCCATGATGAACCTAACATAAATGCTTCCCTTACTAGGTAAGCAAGGCTGGTTTCAAATGCTTTCTTCTCTTAATCCCAGAATAAACGACTGAGGTGCATTTACACTAAAATTGAAAAGCTGGAACCATCAGAAGATGAGATTTTTTTGGATCAGCCTTCTAAGAAATTATCTAAGGAGAAGCCTTCTGAGTATTTTTGAAGCAGAACTTGATATGTTTGCAGTGAATTTACATGATACAGAGAACTAGTTGTGACTGTCAAAAGATCTCTTCCAGCTGCCTGTTCCCTGATGTTATCTAAAACATTAGCAGACGTGCTAATTTGTGGTAGTTTAATCTTGCAGCAATGAGGCCATTTCATTAAAACTGTCAAAGTAATTTAGGACCCTCAATATCATTCTGCTGCTGTAATTTATTTTTTTTTCCTTTTTTTAAAAGACACATCCCCAGGCCTATGAATTTGGAATATAAATTCAGAATTGTGGGTTAATGTGTCCTGTTATGTGGTCTTTCTCAGGAAGTGGCCCCTTTCCGGGTATTATTGACTTGTATGGAACTGGAGGAGGACTCCCTGAATACAGGGCATGCCTGCTGGCCAACCATGGCTTTGCTGTGCTGGCTCTGGCTTTCTACAGCTATGAAGATCTCCCCAAAGGGATGAAGGAATTCCACCTGGAATATTTTGAAGAAGCTGTAAACTATATGTTACAACACACACAGGTTGGTTTGTTCATTGACTTTCACTACAGTGAACTCTCATTAGTTAGAAGGTGTCAGACTGCAGATAGGGCAGAGCTGCTGTACTTAAAATAGCATTGCTGTTGAATTGGGTGTTATTAATTTGTTTTATATCTTTAACTCCCATTACAATGGTTCTCTGGCAGGTTATTCCAACTCTTCCTTTTGAACTGGGCAGGTAAAACAGTAACACATTGGTCATATACTGGTAATTTCTACTCAACTCAACCCAGTGTCAAAACTAGGGTGCTAGTTGCCTGGAGGCTTACTGGACTTACAGTGGGGATTTTAGATTTATGCTCTGTAGAATGTCCTTTTCAGCTGTGGAGCACATAACCATCTGTGGTCCAGGTCTTAGGGAAACCAAGGAAACTCAAGGAAGTCCGCCAATACACATTTGAGGCTTCATATTTTATAAGCTGTTAAAATCACTCCAAATGCTGGTATTTGATAAGTGTGCGTGTTAGTAGCTAGTTGTGCACTTAGAGATCCTTCTAATTCAGCACCTCTTGGAAGAGAACCCTGCTCAATTCTTCATCTCCTTATAAGTAGCTGTGAGTGACAGTAGCTGGAATTGCACAAACCAACACTTGGTTTTTCCGGAGAATGAAAATAACTACCTTCCTCAACCTCAGAAAGATAAGTGTAGTTGTTAAAGGTCTTGGCTGCTTTTTAGTCAACCTTAACTGCTCATGCCCCTCTCTGCCCAAAAAAATCTGAAAATTACTTCCTCCTTGCGTTTTTTTCCCCTTGAGAGCAATACAGTGCCATTCTCTCCTATTAGCACCTCCACTGTTATTTTCACTGTGTTTTTAATGTGTTGCAAAGTTTCAGCCATATTTTCTAATTTCACCCTTCCCATATTTCAAAGTCAGTGGGTTTGAAGCCTATTACACTGGTGATAAGATACAGAAGGTATTAAATTTTGATGCTGTCTCAGAGCCTATTTGCCCCTAAAAGTCTTTGGATATTGAAGAGTTGTGGTATTTGCTAACCTTCTTCCAGTATCCTTACAGAATTTCAGCACACAGTAAGGTCATTTAACTTTTCTATTCTAGTTAATTTGCCTTGTGTAAAAGAAAATGAAGGTAACCTAGTCTAGATTGACTCCAGGGGACTGTACAATTGTCTTAGAAAAATGGTTTTAATATGTTATATTTTTAAGACAAATTTTAATAAGTAAGCTACCTCAGACTACTTCCTGTGAGTTAAATACCAAACATTCTAGGGAAGCAGGAGACCAGTTCATGTGAATCCTGCTACCCCATGTCAGCTTCTTAATAGGGGAACCTTAAATACTAGAAATGCATTAACATAAGTGATGACAATATCATAGTCATTGCTGAGTGTAAGCATTTTGCATTGAAAGAAGGCAATTGCAGAGGAGGTCTCCCCTGCCCTGCTCTTTCCCTCTTCTTCTCTCAATTGCATTATAAATAAAGTGAATCTGGGACTGCACATTTGCAAGCACAGCTGTACTCTCTACTTCAACACTGAACCTTGTAGCTTTGTTAGGATTATGCCACAGTCTCAGTAGGGCTTAGGATCATAAATCAAGCACAGAACAGTTCCCAGGATCCCTCAGACATGGACGCTGCACACAGGACCTCAGATGCCTATAGGTGGGCTCCAAATCTGGGACAGACACAGCTGCAAATATGGCAACATATTAAAGAAGTGGCATGCCATGGTTCATTATTGTGGTTTCTCTTCTCTTACCTCCAGGTTAAAGGTCCAGGAATTGGTTTGCTTGGACACTCAAAGGGGGGTGACCTGTGTGTCTCCATGGCCTCCTTCCTAAAGGGCATCACAGCCACTGCCCTTATCAATGGCTCAGTGGCAAACGTGGGTGCAGTGCTCCATTACAAGGACATCACCATTCCACCCCTTGGTGTCAACCTAAAACGCATCAAGGTCAGCAAGTCTGGGATTGCTGATATTATTGATGCATTGAACAACCCACTAGAAGGGCCTGACCAGCAAAGCTTTATCCCTTTGGAGAAGGCTGAATGTTGCTTCTTGTTCATTGTTGGCCAGGATGATCACAACTGGAAAAGTGAATTCTTTGCAGTTGAGGGGAGCAAACGTCTGCAAGCTCATGGGAAAGAAAAGCCTGAGATAGTCTGTTATCCTGGAGCAGGACACTACATTGAACCTCCCTTTTTCCCGATGTGTGCAGCCTCAATGCACCTGCTATTTGGCAAGCCTGTGATGTGGGGAGGAGAGCCCAAGGCACACTGTGAGGCACAGATAGATGCTTGGCAGCAGATCCAAGCTTTCTTTCATAAACACCTCACAGGCAAGCCATCTGGAACATCCAGTAAGCTCTGATACAAATTAGGTTACTTTACAGATGAAGATCCTGGTGTTTCAAGTTTGTTTTGTTAAATGGCTCAGACATAACAAGGAACATTAGAGAATAAGCTATTAAGTTTCTTGGAAGGTGATGGTGGGGGAAAGCAAGAAAGCAGCTTCCTTTTTACATACTCCTCTAATCTTGGTTAGAGGTCTTGGCCTCCTGTTTTATGTAGTACAGGGTTTTAAGCTGTGGAAAACAAATGGCGGTGAGATTGTGTGTGTTTTGAGGATGAATTGAAGTTGTAGGTAACTTATCCAAGTTGAAAATCGGAATGAAAACATGCCTTGGCCTTCTCAGAGAAAATGTATGCCATTGCCCAGCTTTGTGTTCTAGTTCCAGTATTCTAGTTTTTCTGGAAGCAGTAATCTGCCTCCAGTAATCTTTCTGTTCTCCCTGTGCACTTCTCCCTCCGTTGTTGCTCCTTCCCTTTCTCCCAAACCACTAAAATACAAATGCCTTAAAAATATCTAATATTTCACTTACCAAAAGCAGCAATACTGTGCCAGCACACTCAGGTAACACTTCACATTTATAGGCAACAAACAGCCCATAGCGTGATGTGACGTTCTGAGCTTATGCAGTAGAAATAAGACTTTTAACAGTCTGTGGAAGTTCATAAGCGTGAAGAAACAACAGAACGTGTCCTGTCAGATGTCATCCTGGAGCCGCTCACGGGTATCTCCTCAGCATGGCTGGGTGTAGCTGTAGAGATCCGCAGCGCTGTTGGAGCTGCCTGCCTGCACATTCCCCAAATGCCTTCTCAGCTGCCTGCTCCTAAGGGCTCCTGAGAACAGCCCGGCTGAAGGGCTGGCACGGCGGCTCCGGGAGGCCGAGAGCGGGGCGGCCCTGAGGCGGCCTG